GCGAAAAAATTGGGCACTGATCGAGAATAGTAAATATTCGCTCATTTTTATTTTTAATTTATACGGAAATCTCAATTTTTCTTTCGTTTTTTTTAGTTTGATTCATTTCATTCCTTTGTTGGATAGGTCGGCATGTGTTCTGTCTATATTAATTATTTGCGTTGAATGTCAATAGAAAGTATTTATTGTTTTTTTATACAATTTTTCTGCTCATTTTCTTACAAATTATACCAGATTTATAGATTAAACAAATTTTAAGCAAATAAATTTTAGTCTTAGTCAAATTCGTGCAAAAGTTTGGAAAGCTCGAACAACATCGACGCTGTTTAATGTCCGGCAATATTGTTCCGACATGGAACGTTTGTTGCATAAGATGTGGAAACGTTATGCAGATGGTTTACCACCGGATCACATACTATCGGATCGTGAGGGAAGAGATCCAAGCGATAGGACCAACTAAAATGGTAACTTTTCAAATGTTTTTTGTTTTTCACGGATATTAATAGATCTGTTAAATTAAGAACTGAAGTGAACGAATTGATTTGAAGCTAGCATCGTTAGCACATTCAGAAGATTCATTTGTTTATGACTTCAGTTTATTGCTCCTGCAAGATTAAATAATTTGTTGGTTGGTGCAGTAAATTTAGAACAACCCTTTTGCAATAGTTAGTGATACGAGTTAATTTCCTGTATATTGAATTTAAAACTTAGATAACTCAAAGATATAACCGTATATTTACTTCAGCTGATCCGTACATGGATCGAACAAATATTGCGGCCTACTGATGTTAAGCAACTGATGTTAATTCTTACTTTTTGCCATATTTAACATAATTTTTTTTGATGCAACGATGACAAGAATTCGGATTTTAGATTTAAACTGAGTAAAGTTTATAAATTGTAAGGAATTTTTGTCGTTATTTATTACGTGTACTAGTAAGGTTCTGTGTCTTTTGTTGTATTTTTATTTTTCTTTCGTTCTTTTTACTTGTTCCATATCTTCTTCATGTGTAATTAAAAGGATTCTACGAAGGTTTCGGGAAGATCCGTAGTATGATCACGTGAAGATGAAGTGATTCTTCACTTTGAGCTTCCCTTCCAAGATTTATATTGTAATAAAAAAACCGCCAGAATTTCATTTCAAAAAGTTTACTTTGAGTGTTACATCTGATTGGTACGGCCAGAGGAAAAGGGACAAATGAACTTCGCAATAAAATAAATTGCAATTTTTTTATAATTGTTGAAACTTTAGACTTTTCGTGCTATGGTGTCAAGTGCTGCAATATTTTTTTTTTGTTTCGGTTGAAGTAGTACTAATCATGAATGTGTTTCTATGTTGAATTGATTTGACTTAATTTTTAGGAAATTCGAATTTTTTAAGAGAGCATTATAAACTAAAGTTGATCATAACAAGCTGATTAGATTTTTCGGTAATGATCATGCTCTCACTTGCTTGAATAACGGCTTTGAAATCCCCAGCTTTCCTATGATGGAGGATGAGATAAAAGTATCGTTCATCTTCTATACATTTTGAGATTGGAAAATTCTTTTATTTTTTGCAAAAAGTATCGTTCATCTTCGAAAAAAATTTAGCTTGAAAATTTTATCCATAATTCGAAATTTTACCTTATTTTTGTTTTGAGTTATGTATGCTTTCACTAATTGCTTCGATATTTTTATTCAGAAGAATGGAACTGTGCATTGTTATACTGATTAAAACCTCATAATTATTGTATAAAACTACAAGACTATGTGTCTTGCAGTGATTTATGCATATGTGAAATGAAATATAGTTTGTGATATTGCTGAGTTGAATATGATATGGATATTGCGAATATATTTCACTCATATATTGCATCCATTTTACTGTATCATTTATCGAGCCTATTCGTGTGTTAGTTGTCTCTTTGCATCTTACCGCTTTTCTTTCCTTTTCTTGTTTGCAGTGAAGGATTTTTATGAGATACTTATTAGTTTATTGTCACTATTTTAATCTTCATGTTATTTTATCTCTTGAAGTAAGTGAAACTTTCTGTGGAAATGCCTCATTCTGTTTCATCAAACATTTCACTGTTTTCAAACTATCATTTGTTTGGGATAAAATTTTTTTTGAAATTGAGTGGTAATTGTACCCAGGAAACAATTTATTATATATTTTTGATACGTTTCAACTGTATCATTTTATGTGGTCTATTCGTGGATCGTAAAGTTTGCCAAAGGTGATCCCGCCTATCGGAATAATCGATAGTATGTATTTCCATTTTTTTTTCATGAATGCTATTTATTTTGGGATCAGTATTGCTTCGTCTCACTGAAACGTAGATTTTGACTTCGTTTCAAAATAAAGTACAAGAGCCTTCATTCTGACGCTTACCATCTTTGAACATATCGCTAATCATGCTTATTTTTCGTTGCTAGATTGATTATGTAGAACTGATGTTATGATTATAAATACATTGATTGTGGAATTTACCAATAACCAAAATAAGGGTGAGCTAAACATTTGCCGAAATCATTTGTCTAATTTTCATGTTTTATATTAATTTAGGATTTATAAAATATAGCCTGATAGTAAAATAAAACTTTTTAGTCCAGGAAGAGCATAATGAAGATAAGCAGATTTCAACACCAAGTGCAAATGGGAGAGAGGAGAAGTCGATTAAAATGATGGCGATTTATAACACTGGAAATCTGAAAGTAATTATTTCAAGGGAAATGTGAACTGTATTTTTCTAGCATATAATTTCTGATCATGTTTTTTCTTATAAATAAAAGATTAATAGATATATTAATGTCGAAACGAAATAAGAAGAATTAATTTAAAACTTAAATTGCAATTTTTCTTTTCGAGATGCACCATTCTGAATGATATGCAATAGTGATTAATGTGATACGAGATTTTTTTTGCTAATTTTTAGATAACTTGAATGTTTTTAGGAATTTTGTGTGTGGAAAAGTTAGTGATTTTCAGCAAGACCGTACGACATGTAAGTAACAAACAACATTATTCCACATGACTAATACTATGATTGTTTTGCCTTCAAGATTTTGTTGAATTAGCGGATAGATCAGAAATACTTTTATCATTTGCCAGATAAATGTGATGGAATGGAAAGATTGCGATTATCTCTGGAATGAACATTTTCTCCAGTTTTTGTTTGTTTCAACAAGAACGTGCAACCTTTCTGCTTATTGTGTGTTTTTGTGGTACCAAACTGTTTGTCAACTGTTATTCGGGATAAAAGAGCTTGCTGAAAATCGAGAAAAAAATAAATAGTGATAATAATGGTAATAATAAATGAAATAAAATCCATTAAGAAGTTGGTTCATGAAGCATATTTTTTTGTGCTTTATTTCTAAAAAACCAAAAATTAGTTCTATACGTTTACTAGCTAAAAGGTCAAATATTAAGTTATTTACGTTATTAAGTTATTTTGTTAAGCTATTTACGATTATTAAGCTGATTTGATTGCTGTTATAATGTATCTCATAACTGTATATGTTTATTTTGGAATTTTTATTTTCCATGAGCTGATAATTTATTTCTGGTAAGTTTTTCATTCACCTTTTTTTCAATATATCTTTTTTCAGGGCTGATTTCGAACATTTAAATTTTCCAGGATTGTAACTAAAAAGCTTACATAGTTATACATATTGAAATTTGATGTGATTAAAGACATGAGAAATGGTCTTGCATATTCTTATACATTGCATTATATGATGTTCACATAAAATTTACATACATAAATTTCACATAAACATACATTATATGAAAATTAGAGAGCATATTTTCACCAAAACTTTTATACGATATTTTACAATAATATTTTATTTCCAACAATCCTTCCAATACCCATAAATGCTTATAATTTTCCTTCTCTGTTATTAAATATGCTTAGTATGCTAATTGATTGTCTAATAAATGTTCAAAATTCTTTTCCATTTCTCCGCATATATTTTACATACCAAATAGAACTAATATCTATATGTATAAAAAAAAGAAAATAATGCAAACTGTAAGAACAAATAATGCATTACATAAAAAAATAATGCAAGTTATGCAAAAAATGAGATATAATCTACAGCTCATACAAGGAAAGAAGGAGAGAGTTTAACTTTGCCATTATACCGACCGGATATATAATTGACCGAGGTTCTGCCTATCATACCCCTACATATGCTAATCGAAATGACCATTGCGAGACATTTCCGTTGAGGAGATCAATAAACCAGTTCAATGTTCACCTCTCTCATCTGTTTCAGTCGGATTGATGCAATATAATTGTGGCTTCTTCTTATGCCTTGAGGCACTATTTTCAATGAATCGTATCCGAAATCACATTGTACCATCAACTGAACAATGCTACTTTAAGGTTAGCTGAGGTCAAAGGGGTGTCTGCCCTCAACAACATACCTAAGAGATATAATAAACGTCACAACCGTTATCTTCAACCCCTTTATTTGCTGCTATTGAGTTGCAACAGTTCGAAAAATTCCTATAATATAACCTTTCGGCGGTAGCGTCACTTAAAGATTGCTCGATTTGATTTCTTCGGGGTTTTTTGAGGGGTTTTTCGGGTGGTGTCCGCTACTTGATGGTGCATTTCTCGACAGGTTTCCTTGTAATCTCAGGAAAATATCCCGGTACGTCGCTATGGACAATTCTATTAATTTGTTCCGCTGAGAGAATTACTTTATTTCTCCGTAAACGGACAGTTTCGCATATCTAATATGATCATTATGAAACTTTTATATAAATATGAAAGCATAATGAAAATATTAAAGCTATCAGCTAGCAGCGAAACTGCGAATTCATAACGAGATTATGAAATTTTCAAACTTTGTTTTTTTGAGAGGTATGGAGGATTGGAAGTTATCATCTGACTGTTGTAAAATCATTTGACTGTTATGAAAATCAGGCATACAGTCCAGGTTTTATATGCGTTGGTGTATTATTTATTATTGTACATTCAGTTCACAATGAGTTTCAGGGAAACTGAATGCTAGTGAATGGACGGGCTTTGGCGCAGTTGTGCACCGATGAGTCATATGAAACGAAACTTTCTGGTACTCTCTTCTTGTTACAGGTTGGTTTTTTATTATTAAGGTAACATTTGATATTCAGTATTGGTGAAATGGTTAGATTAGAACATAAAACATCTATGTTAAAATAGTATCTGAACATAGATGTTTTATGTTATCCATAAATTATCGTTGATAGAGGGGGTTTTGTGTCATATAAAATGGCAGATATTTTAAACGGAATTATTAATAGCTGCATATGTTTCTTTACCTTTTTATTAAATGTTGAAATTCAAATTAAAGTTGAAACTATAAAAAATTTGCGAAATTCAAGTTAAAATTGAAATTATGAAAAAATTCTGAAAAAAATTAAAAATTATAAAAAATATTGCTATGAAAATGTGCAAAGTTTATCAACTTGTTCGCAATGATTCATAAATCAATAATTTAGAAACGAATCTACAGCCTAATTTGCATGTTTAATCATTACCTAAGTAAGAAAATATTCAGGGAAAGGGATGAAGTACTTTGAAGATCTTTGTTAATTGTTGTATTTTATTATATAGTTAACGTCTGCTGTTCACACATACGGGAGATTGATTGTAGGATGGACGTTGGCGATCGTTGCACGCTATATTAAAAGCTAATTTATTGTTTTTATTTAATCAACCGGAAAATATTGGAGTTGAAGCGCCATGTATAATTCTAATTTTGGAAGATTGTTATATGGAGCTGTGTGATGATAATGCGACAAAGCGGTCGTATTCCTTTGAAGTTATTTTGAAAACGTATGCGATCACCCTTGATTTTCAAAGTCATCTTAATTTTGATTTATATGATTCCAGGACTTAACTTGCTCTTGTCCATTAAATTTTTATTGCTTTAGAATTTACTTCTGAATCAGAAATAATACATTCAAGCTTTTTCCGTAACTTTTTAGTTAACATTGGTGACAGATTTACTGTCAATGTTTAAAATGCAGTTAAAATTTGAAGATAAAAAAAGCTTTAAAAAAATCTTCAATTTTCAGGACTGGGAGGAAGTTTACATTTGCTGCAGATAATTTTAAGGCCTTAGAACGATGGATTTCGTCGTTAACGGTTGCTTCATTGGAGTATATTGCAATCACAAAGCAATCATTTTTGGAACAAATAAGTGACAGTGAAAAAAAAACTTAGCATTGTATTGAAATTTTTAATACTTATTCTTGATGATTTTTACTGTTTATCGTTGATGGCAGTCCTTAGAAATACTCAAATAATAAGAAGTAAAATCATTGTGTTACTTGCTACCCAAATGGTTTTTTATGGATTCTGTGGTGAGAAGTACCATCTTCTGGTTTTTTATTTTTGCTCTTGTGTAACTTCTAAATAGATTTCGGGATTTTTGTCCTAATATTATCATATATGTTTTAATATAATATAATATGAGGACATTGTAATATAGGTTATCATATAAGTATTCATTCTTTGTAACTTTTGTATATATCTCTGGTTATTTACGGGTTTTAAGAAATTGTGATGTTGTGAAACGAGAAAGTAGTGTGGTGAAAAATATAATATTTTTATGATTAGTGTGTTCGAAAATGCTGTAGCTGATATCTGCTACAAGAGGTAAATTCTTATGAATGAAACCTTTTTGTGATGAAATCCAACATTGTTGTCATTTTTTTAATTCTGCAAATCACTGAGATTTATTTTAATCATTTGGTTTTAATAAATCATTTTATTTTGATAAGATTTTTGTAAAACGTGTTTCTTCATGAGCTCTTTCTGCCTATTTTATACACGTGCTGATTTATTGCATTTAGGTATAAAAAGATGGGAGATAGCTCTGAATTATGCTGTACAAATTAAGACAAGGATTAAAAAAGCTGAAACGAGTCAACTAAGAAAGTGAAAGATGTTCCGAAATTCTAGAAATTTTTTTTTCTTGAATGATAGGTTGTGTACTTATCGTTCAAGAAAGAAGCTGACGGGGCGGTTTTCCGGAAAATTATATTTATTTTTTTATACTAATTAATGACTTAATCATGGATTGTAAGATGTAATTTCAGGAAATTTCGAACTAGACCTTGAACAGTGGATTCTGGGAATTAAAACGGCGAGGATGCCGGTAAATTTTTCAACTTTTTTAATATTCGTGATATAAGCTTTCTACGGAATATGTTCTTTGTTTATGAAACTTATGTCATTCTTGGACGACAAACGTAGAATTTTATACTGGGAACCAATCTTTTGGTTGTAAAGGGAGTATTGTATCATAGTACTCTTTTTAAGGCATATCATTCAAAGTTTACTGATGTTACAATGATTGTTGGAAATATGGCAATGCTTCCGATACGATCAAATATTAAAGGGCCAGCTCCACGAATTGGTAAGTTGCACGAATAATATGCTTATATTCTGTGGCAAATAAGTAATGTCATGCTTACTTCCGTAATTTGTTGAACAAGTTAATTTATTACAGTAAGTCAACAACTTATTTTATTTCTCATTGTTTGTGATGCAGTGATATAGAAGTTTAGGAAATTAATTTCGAAAAATTCTTCCTTGATTCTGGTATAATGATCTTACTCTCGCTACAATAATGTTAAAATGCTGACGTTTAAAATTAATGTTGTATAAATAAATCAGTGTTGGAAAGTTTAAAAAGATATGCATTAGTCATTTAAAGCAATTGTTTCAGATGATGGTGAAGATATAATTGATGAAGCCCTCGCTTATTTCAAACCCAATATTTTCTTCCGCGAATTCGAAATTAAAAGTCCTGCTGACCGAACACTCATCTATCTAACATTGTACATTTCGGAATGTCTAAGGAAGCTACAAAAGGTAGATTTTTTAACAAATTAATGTAAACGCAATTATTGCTACTTATTATATCATGTAAGTTTAACTTAGATGAATTCAATACAAGTTATTGTACCGTTTTATTTAAGATTTTATTTCGTTTTTTAATGGTATTTCATTCACTGGGAGAAGACTTTATAGTTAATAATTCCTTAAGAGAAAGATAGTGTGATTATTTTGTTTTTGCTAACTGGAGAATTTTTAAATATCTATTCTAATTTCTAATAACTTGTCCTTATCTTTTTTTATATTATTATATATATTATGCAGTAGGCTCGAAGTATATACTTTTCAGAGCTCAAATAGATCGCAAGCAATGAAAGATTTATCTGTTTTGGCACTGAGTCATCATCTTCCAATACCGGGAGAAGCGGCTTTTCCATTAAATAGTATGTATAAAGCTCCAGCAAACCGAAATGAAGAAGGTGAGACTATCGTTAATAGTTCAGAAATTCAGTTACTCGTCTGTAAGTAGATCCTCTTTACCAGCAACCGGTAAATATTCAGTAAATTGGCAGTTCATCCAGAAATATGTTTTAATAAAAATCCGATATTTATTGCATAGTTTATAATGCTGATTTTCGATTTTGAGATTTTTTGAGACTTTTCAGATTTTTGCTTGACGCAAGCCTATCAGTGTTTTACTGAGGCGTTGATTCCTGAGGCAATGGATTTCAATAAACTTGCATGTATATTCCAAGCTTCACATTTTTTTTCTTTTAATTTGCTAACTAATCTATTTTTTTAGACATTATGCGTTCATATCTCCTGCAGCTAAGACAGGAATTAGGAGCACGTTTGTTAGAACATGTTTTTGAGGCAAATAGTGAAAGGCCAAGCAAAGTAAGCCATTTTCTATCAGATTCATAAATTTCGTAGAAGATAGAAGTTGATAGAATTTCAGAAATTTACTAATATTTTGTTCGTTTCCTATTCGGATTATTTTTAGGGATGCATTTCTAAAAATCAGTGAGATGATTTTTTGTATTTGAAAATTATTGAAAGCACAAAACGGTGGGACAGAACAATTCCCGAGCATCGGAAAACTTTTTTAATGAAATACTATTATAAATTTCTAAGCCTTGTTGCAGTGGTGGATGTGTTTTGCTCGAAGACGTTTTATGGATAAGGGCTTGGTCAGTCCCGGTATTGTTTTATAAAGATATTTTTTCAGAAAAGGTGATGTAAAGGTTTGAAATCGGAATCAAACGATTTCAAGCTTATCTTTTTCTTTCTTATTCTCGTTGTTTATTTTTTCATAGCGTCTAAGCGTTTAAATTTTGATTTATGTAAGGATATTTTTTATGTAATGGAAGATAATCAAAGAAAACATGTAAATCCAATTAGTTTCAAGTTTATGTATTATAACCAATTGTCCCTTATGGTTGAACTTTTTCTATTAAATTAACTTATTGCTTAAGTATTAATTATCGCAAAGAGATGTCTGTGCTTGCCTCTATAAATAAAAATCAGAGGACGATTCATTTTCGAATGTTTATGATACGGATTTTAAACATTTCGACTCTTAGGATCCAATAAATTTGAATTTAAACTAAATTAAAAGTTGTAAAACTTGCTACGAAATGAATTGGCTTGTATGTTAGTTTCTAAACCATGGCTTTGCTCACTAACATTACTCTCACATTATCATTATGGACCATTTAATCATATTTGTGCTGGTTAGATTGTTTCAGTGACGGATGCAGGTAACACTAATAATAAATCTTTAATCCTGGAGCATTAAATAAAATAGAAAGGATTTCAGAAGTCTGTAATAATTGATTAACAAATTTAACTGCTTTTTGTTCGTTGCTAATGTTGTGCTTTGCTCATTTACTTTGTGAAATCAGAAATAAATGACTTTAATTTATTATTTCTCATTTTCGTATTTACAAAATAAAGGGAAACAAACAAGTTGTGCTTCTGAAAGTTTGTCTTTCTGTTTTCACATTGGAATCTTTCGAAAAAGTGGATGATTCTGTATGTGAAGTTTTTCAGAAATTCTAAAATTTTTTTCTTCGACTTTATTTTCCGAAATGCTTCATCATGATAAGATTCGTTAAAGAAGGGAAGTATAAGCGATAATGGATTTGATTGATTCTAGTAAATATTTCTCCGAAATTCCTTTTGTATCATTTTTGCCTTTTTGATATGCTCATTTTGCTGCTGTTTAGTAAAATAGAGCTAATTATTGAATACTTCAATAATTAGCTGTACTAAATCTTCTTATTTCTCAGTTTTTTTCATATCAGTGATTGTTTACGCTATGAGAGAGGTTTGTTGCCTTTATTTCTTACACTCAAACATTCATTGAAAATTATATAACTTTATTACAATATATTTTGAACTAATAAAAGTAAAAAATGCTACATGATCACAATGAAAACGTGAGATGAATTTAAAATAATTGTAAACTTATAGCGAAATTACTTTTAGAAAGCTTGAAATTCAACATTTTATTTCGAAATTGAATGAGGTATAAAGTTTATAAATGTTTGATTAAAAATTATTGTGTGATTTATCAGCGTATAGTATTTAAAACGATGATTCAAATAGTTATGTAAATGGAATAAATGATGGTAATGAAATCATTGCATGTAAAGGGAATATAATTTTTCGAAATTTTTTTGTTAATTTAATCAAATTTTACTGCATAAATAATTAATTTACATAATTAAGGCTCATTAAATTATTAAAAATGTGAATTGATGCAATTAATGATAGAATAAATTCATCGCTCGATGCTTAATATAAATTATTATTGATAATAATAATAATAATTGATAGTAATGATAATTTAAACTTTTTAATGGATATCATTTCATTTAGGAATTTTACGATGCTGTTGCAAAATACAAAAAAATGCGGGCACGTTTTGACCAACGGCAAAAATTAAAAAATGAATATGAATTACTGATTAAATTCGATGAACACACATATGAATTGTTTGGATTATATCAACAAGCTATCATTGGTGATATTAATATACCGAGTACGCTGATAATGCTTACTTTTTCTTTTTTCCCAGTTGGCTAAATTTGATTAAATTAAAATAAATGAAATAAATTTCCCCACATATGCATATAAACATTTTAGGAATTGGAAAAAAAGCTTTTCTTTTTTTCTTTCATCTTTTTGCTTACTTATATAAAACTATAAAGAAAGATTTTGTAAACTAATTTAACTGTTGTCGATTATTAATTATTTGATCTTACCAAATTATTATTATTATTGCATGCAAAGATTCGCTTTGTGTGCATAATGTCTTTAAGTTTCATATTTTTTTAAAAAATCGTTAACTTAGAATTTCAAATTAAATTGCTTAAGAATTTTGATTTTTTTTTTTTGAAAATTTTAATCCCAAATGCAATACAGTAATATTTCTGATATTACTACAGAAATGAATTATCGTGACCCAAATGAAATGTCATATATGTGGTCATGGATTAAAGGAAATCGTAAATGGCATGCATGGAATAAATGCAAAGGTTAGGTAACATCGTTGGATAATTCAAATCACTTCTGCCTTATATTTTAATTTGATTAAATTTCAATTAAAAAATCTTAACTAGAATTTTTTAAATTTTAAAATTTTGATTCGCAATATTTTTTAGAAGTTGCATTAGCAATTTTTTTTAGATAAATATTCTTTTTTATTTTAACAGCAATGAAACTTTTGATGATGCATTTTTATGTTAGGCTTGTCAAAAGATGATGCAATGAATCTGTATGTGGAAAGAACAAATGAATTGGAAAAGGAATTGGATAGACTTGTAGACGATTGGAAGGATGAATTGGACCCGCGAGTTCCCGATAAGAATGCTTGGGTACCGGAAGAAGAAATGGAGAAATTTCAAAAATTCATGGAACAAGCAAAACGTGAGCGAAGGTATGGTAAAACAAAAATATTATTACAAAACAATTAATTCATTATTTCAAGATTTATTATTAACTATCAATTCGTCAAATTATTAGAAGATAATCTATATTATTGATTAATGAATTAATTGATCAAAATGTTAATATCTATGCAATATGCCAGAAAATATGATATTACAAAATATTAACACATGAGATTGCAGCATATTATTAATCCATCAATTTTTTAATTAGGATAGTAATTGATCGATTAATAATTAATGAAAAATTAATAATACATACATTTTTGCTATCATCAATCATACTTTTCGTCATATGTTTGCAGAGAACGAGATGTATTGAAACGACAGAAAGAAATTGAAGATGGAATGTGGGATGAATGAAATTTGAATGAATCAGAAATCAATTAGTATAATTTTCAAAAGCACAAAAAAATATATATTCCATTTTTTTTAATGAATTATATTTTGCACACTACTCATATTTTATTTACAATGATACACATTAAATTATCACTGAATTCAAGAACAATTGAATAATTTCCAGCCTAAATGCTATCATCATCAAATTTGTAAAGAAAATAAGGTGACGAACCACCGCGACGTCGATATACTGTCCTATTGCTGGGTGAATCGGTGATATCATTTTGAAATGACTGATCATCTATACAACATTTTTTGTTTTTTTCGTGAAATATTTCTTTTTTTTGCACTTATCACTTTATAAAAATTTATAAATCATTCAGATGTTTACCGTATGGTTTTTGGTATTGAGTTTATAAAATATATTTTAGAAAAGAAATTTTTTTTTGACGAAAAATGAATATGCCATTTTTTCTTTCTTTTCTGCAAATTTCTGAAATATTTTTCAAAAAAGATTTTGTCTAACAAAATAAAAGAAGCAAAAAATAAAGCTTATACCTTTATGTTCTTTCAAATAAATACGAAATGTAAAACAATTGACAACAATAATTAGGAAAACGACAATGCTAATTGCAACAACCAAGCCAATGGTTACATTATCAGTCTGTTGGGTACGATATTCATATTCGATTTCGTCCTCCGATGATAATGTGGTACTAAAAGAAAATATAAGAAAAAAATTTGTAAAATAAAATTTTTATTAAAATTAATATTGATCAAAAAAATAGACTATTTGTAAAATATATTAAAATTTGTTAAAAATTAAAGTTGTTATCAAAAAATTAAGTGTTAACTAATTCGTCAAAAGAGTTTTTTACCTTGACAATAACCAGTTCTTCAAGCAATTCTAATTAAAATAAATAAGATAATCAGATGGACTTTTTTTAATGATTAATGTTTGTAAAATATTTTCTAAAAATTTTTGTAAGAAGCAAAAGACTAGTGTGATAAAGGTTTGTTTCGAACTTTTCAACAAATTATGCTTTTGTCGGATTTTAAATAGATTTTCGGCATCAGTCTTTTTTTAAAGGTGTCTTGCAAAAATTTTAATTTTAATTTTAAACCTAATATTAAAAATAAAACAGACGAGAAAAGTAGATGGAAGAAGACAGAAATATTTTTTTCATCTTTTGTGATTGAGATCAACAATTTACATATAACGAAATATTTCTTGTAAAAGGACGAAGGAAAAGGAGAAAGAAAGAAGGAGAGAGAAAAAAAAGAGAGAATGGAAGTAAGGACCGAAAGAGTTTTAAAAAATGGTTGAAGTCGCCGTTGATGGCAAATATGCTATCAAAAAATTTTTCATCCTTTGCATTTTTATACATTTTTTTACGATCTTCTTTTTTAGTATTATTCGAATTATATAAATCATCCATCATATTGGCTTCATAAAAATTAAAATTCATTCATAATATGAAATATTAATTTTAGAATACTATAAATAGTACGATATTATTGAATTTTATTTTTGATTAGTTTATATCATTCAATAAAATTTTTAAATGCATTATAAGATGAAAACTTTTTCATGCTATTTTCTTTATTTGTTGTATTGATTGCATGTATAAATCATCAACTATTTTAATCGATTTTAATCAATTTATAATGTAATTGATAAACCAAAATAATTTATCAGAAATTGATCAATTTTTTTTACTTTGAAATACTTCAAAATATAAGTTTAAAAGATAATTTAACAATGATCTGAATGATTCAATCGTTCATTATTATATAACGCATCTTTAAAAGATAAATATATTAGAAATTAAATCTATTATATATGTTTTTTAATCCATTAACAAATTCTAATTAGATCATTGAAATATTAAACAATTTGATTAAACGATTATTATTTTTACTATGCTTTTTTTTAAAAAAAAAATTATTATGCTTAATGAATTAATGCGCAAAAAAATTATATATAATCGCTAATAAAATTTCCAAATAAAATTTCGTATAATAAAATAAAGGAAATAAAATGTTACAAAATATCTTCATTTTTCAATTGTTGATCGTTAGTGTTGGCTGACATTATCGATTCATTGATCGTTGTTGCATTGATTTGAAATATCGTGGTGACAGTGACATTTTCGTTCGTGCTTATAGTTGAATCATTTTTCGTATCATTTGATCTGACATATTCTGTTTTTGTGTTTTTGTTATTTGAAATAATATTTTTTTCAGAAAACAAAAAATGAAAAGCAAAAATATTTTTAAAATTTCAGATAAATAATTTAATAGAAGAGATTTTTGAAAATAATAAAATTTTGCTAAAAATGGAAAGTTAATCATAACAATTTAAGAAAGTAATGCATTTGGAAATGTAAATATGTCGTAATTCTGCCATTTCAAACAGTGCTATTAGTTGAATTAAAAAATCTTTCAAAAAAATATTTCATTACATAGTTAACCGATTTCATCAGTAATAGTAATTGATTGGTTAATTGAATAATTAGTCAACTGTTGTACTGTTAAGTTGGAATACCTGCTCAATTTTGATTCTTGACAAAATCTGGGATTGTTCACTTTCTTTTCATGATTTAAATCAGCTTTTAAATTATTGCTTAATTTTTCCTGTAACAATTCATGCTTATTTACAAGAAGTATCATGATTTGAATCAATTTTTAATTTGCTTCTTATAGATTTATTTAGTATTTTAAATTCGATGACACATTCATATTTTAAATTACTGATCATTTACATGCATCTTTTTTTTTCATTTTTATCTACGTTAAATCATTTTCCGGAAATTTGCATATTTTGAGAATTTCCGATAATTCTTCAAACCTTCCGTTGAATTTCTACTATTTTTTTTTTTAAATTTTCACTTCCGATAAGACTACTGATGTTGTTTCTGTTCCTGAGTACTTTATTTCTGCCTGTGCCAATTCTACTTTTGAGTTAAATTAATTTAATACTTTTAAGTTAATTAAATTGTTCATTCATCCTCATTTAGCTTTCCTCCCTTTCAAGTTATTCATTTCTCTTTAAACCGATTATTTGCTCTAATCGATAAGATTTCATTGCTTAGCTCCGCCCCAAAAAAAGAAATTTACGAATTGGGTATTTGCAAAAGCTTAAATCGGATATATAGCTGAATTTAACGATTACAATTTGCAATATGTTTCATGGCAGCAGCTATAGCAGTACGCCGGATACGGTTATACATAAAATTATCCGGATACAGTAATAATCTTTCTCAAAAAACCTTTATAACACTACCCCTTCACCTATTCTATTTGATTAATCATTTATTAGGCTAGTAATTTATTGTTTAACCTTAGCCAAGTATGCTACCATTTAACTTCTTTTAAACTAAGATGATATATGCTTTGCCATTTTTTCAACATCAATTGTTGTAATCAGTCGATGAAAATTTCCAAAAAAATCTTTCTCGATAGCAACGACTATCATTATACTTTATTGATTGTTTACTGCTTGTTCCGAAGATTCAAAGTTAATCCAGACAGGGAAGAAATGTTCATACATCAATTTTCCATAACTGACAAATTTATGATCAATGTTGATATATGTGATTCTTAATCATGTAGTGATAGTTAATTCAGATCTGATCTTTCTTCCAGTGATAAGTTCAATTCAAGCACTAAATTAATTTTTGTAAATTCATTCTAATCTTTTTGCTGATTCAAAAACATTCAAACTGGAATTTCCATGTGATGATAAAATTATATCTGACTCTGTCAGTGGCGTTAGAAATAAAAATTCAAATTTAATCCTAAATTATGCATGATTAATTTTTCAACACTATATCCATATCTTTCCCCGGGGATTTTCGGTCTATCTGGGAAAAATTTGTTTTATTCTGGTAATATTATACTGAAAGCAATCGTCCACTTATTATATTTAATTTTAGTAAATTAAATATTGAATATTATAATCAAAAAGAAATCAATAAAGGAGTTTTTTGAAATAAATATTTTAAATTCAAGAAGATTAAAACTTTTTTCTTTTTTTTTATTTGCTTGCTAGAAATAGGAGCCTAATGATGCTATAAGATAAATTTTTGATTGCAATTTTTAATTAACTGATTCACTATATGAAATACAGGTAATTAAATATCCTAAAAAATTTAGTAATAGAAATGGTGATGGAAAAGTTGACATACGGAGAAAGCTCCTGCTGAATTATTTGCTTGTTCATATGATTTTAACAATCTGCTAAATTCATTGCTTTCATTTTCCACGTTTTGTTGTGCAAAAGTACTTCCAATGGTGATATTTGAGTTTTTCTAAAATGATTACATCCTTTTGATTTTTAGAAATTTTGCATTTTTTCCAATTTTTGCAAAAAAATTGATATATTAAAGGATTGATATGTTAATAATTATTATTCTATTTAGCATATAAAAAATATTGTAAGCAATAACAGTTGTTAGCTATATGTTGAATAGTACTGAAAATGATATTTTTTAATGATAATAACTACAATAACAGTAGTAATGATAATTAATAATAAGAGTGATAATAATACTGATAATAATAATAGGAACAGCAATAACAGTGATAATAGCAATGATAATGATAGTAACAATAAATAATTACTAATAATAATAGTAGTACTCAATACCAAATGACTTGATGCACCAAATGCTGGGCAATTGATTGATATCAAAGTGATAATTTTTAGAACAACCATCCTTCATAACCAAATTTTTTTTTTTGTTTTTTTTTTCTTTTTGCTAATAAATTTTGATATTCACATTTGATGAAGCATTAAACATATGCAAATATTTTGTAATGTTTAGCTCATTTTTCTGATATCAATTCAAATATATTAAATAAAAAAAAGAAGAAAAAGAAAGGAAAAAGGAAAGTTAAGGTAAAATGTAGTAAATAAGAGAATTGTTTACTTTTTCTTTTCTCTTCTATTTGAAATGATGGTCAACACTTAAATTAAAAGTATAAATAATTTAAAAATTTTTAAGTTTAAACTATCA